AGACTCAGGATTTCAAAAGCAATCCTGGACAATAAGAGCAAAGCAAGAGTCACTCTAATCCCAGATTTCAAATTCTACTAAGAGACAGACATGTGGATCACTAGAACTTAACAGAGGATGTAGGAACAACCCCAGCTACATTCAGCCATCTGATCTTTGAGACAGGGATCAAAAATGTATGTTGGAAAAAAAAATGTATGTTGGAAGAAAGCCTTTTTAACAAATGGCATGGAAAAATGGTTATATGCATGTGGAAGATTCAGTCTGGACCTATATCTCTTACCATGTACTAAACTAAAATCAAAATGGATCAAGAATCCAATTATGAAAACATAAAGACAATCAGCTGGAAGATAATATAGGTAAAACTCTTGAAGACCGTCATAGGCAAGGACTATCTGAACAGTACACCAATGGCACAAGAAATAACATAACAAGTCAACATATGGTATTATACCAAATTAAAAAGTTTCTACACAGCAAAGAAAACAATCATCAGAGTTCAGATGCAACCTTTTTGCCACCTATTCCTCAGGGAGAGAGCTAACATCCAAATATATAAAGAACTCAAAAATTTGACCCCTCAAAATAAAATACACAATCCAAAAATGGGCAACTGAAATGACTAGACACTTTTCAAAAGAAGAAGTAAAAATAATAATAATACATAAAAATGTTTGATATCTCTGGCTATTAGAGAAATGCAAATTAAAACACTGAGATTTCATCCTACTCCAGAAATAATGGCTATGATCGCAAACTCAAAAAATGACAAATGCTGGCCTTGGCAAGGTTGTGGGGAAAAAGGAATTCATCTACAAATTGGTGGGAATGGAAACTCATACAACCGCTATAGAAATCAGTATTGAGATTTCTCAAAAAAACTAACACTTGAAATTCAACTCAGCTATATCTTCTTTAGGTATCTTTGGAAAGAATAAAAGACACTATATAACAACAGCACATGCATACTCATGTTGATAGAAACACAAGTCATAAAATATAAATATTGGAAGCAACCTATGTATATGTCCATCAACAGGTGAGTGGATAAAAATTTGGTACTTATACACAAAGGAGTACTAATCTGCTATAGTGAAGGATAGAGCTGAGTCATTTATAGGAAAATGAAAATACTTTGAGCCCATAATGGTACGTGAAATAAATGAGACACGTAAGCTTCAATATGCATGGTTTCTCTCATATGAGAAACCCAAAGCAAATTAAAGAGCAAAATAAAATATAGATAATAGGAAACAGGAAGACAGATTTTTACAAATGGGAAGGGGACCAAGATATGGAGGGAAAGGAAAGGAAGAGTAGGAGTAGAGGATGTGGAAATAATTATGTGTTATGTACATGTACCAATTCCCTACAATGAATGTACTGTAAACATGTAATAACAAAATAAAAATTAAAAAATTTTAAAACTCATTAAATTTCAGAATTCTAAGGGAAAAAGAAGGTATTGCTATCGGACTGTCATTGCAAAGCTGGGAATATGTGCCTGTACTTACCTGTGTATACTCATATCTATATTTGAGAAACAATCTATGTATATATAAAGTAAACACAAACTTAAAATATTATCTTATACTCCAATCTAATATTACACAGCTAATTTTAGCCTTTAATGTTCTTGCTTCTTTTTAACTTCCTTTTCTGACAATGAGAAATCTGTTTGTCTCAATTCTAATATACCTGAAATGTAACTTCAGAATTGCTAGTTCATATTCCTGAATGAAACACATTTATCAACTAGAGCAAGGATAAGAAGACTAGAGATCCCAAAATCAGTGTGCCCTTTGGCCTGCTTTGGTATGGCCTGAGGGTTAAGAATAACTGTTACATTTTTAAATATATGAGAGGAAAAGCAAAAGATTATATGAAATTCACATGAAAATTACATAAAATTCACATTTTAGTGCACATAAAGTTTTATTGGAAGTCATTCCAATGTTTCTACATAGTATTTTGCTAAAACTGCAAAACCGGAGCCCAACAGCCTAAAACTATCACACATATATACTATCTAGCTCTTTACAGAAAAAGCTTGCCGAACCTTAACTGCAATATAGTTGTTACACAGTTCTTTCAGTCTTTAACCTTTCTGCTTCTAGTAAAATACCATACTCCAAACTTATTCAATATGTTAATTTAAAGATATGGATTAGGGCCTGGGGATTTAGCTCAGTGGCACAAGCGCCTGCCTGGCAAGCACAAGGTCCTGAGTTTGATCCCTGGTAGCACAAAAACAAAAAACAAAAAGATATAGATTAGGTTTTGAATAGCATTAAATTAATTGTAACCTTCATTAATTCCTTGGGCTCCATATGCTGCTTGAGGTTTTTGCTTTTAATTTTCATATAGTAAAGTTTACTCTTTCAGATGTACACTTCTATGAGTTCTGACAAATACAAGTTATGTTTTAACCACTCAAGTACCAATTGGAACAGTTGTATCAACCTAAAACATCCCTCATAAGACTAGTCTCCTCGGTGGTCCACCTCTCCTCTGCCTTTCCCAACTTTTGCTATTTTAATATTATATTATTATTTTATATTATATAAATAAATTATTATTTTATATTATATAAATAACATCATAATGTATAACTTTGCGAATTTAGATCTTTCATTTATCAAGCGTAAGATTCATCTTCCCATGTCAATTAATAGCTCATTCTTTCAATTATTTATTAAATATAATGTTAGCTATAGATTTTATAGATGCTCAGAAGTTCTATTCTTACTTTACTGAGAATATTTTTCATGAATACAGTAGAACTTTATTGGATGCCTTTTCTGGATCTATTGAAACTACACAGAGAAGAAATAGTTTTTTCTTATTTAATCTATTAACAATGCAACTACATTGCGTTTTTGGAAGAAATCCCTTTGTTTACAAAGTGGTTTACATTTCCTGTGGGGAGTTGATACATGTACATAATATACCTTAATTCCTTTTTCCTTCTCCTTTGCCTCTCTTTCTTCTTTCTCCCTCCATCTCTTGATCCCCTTCCCATTTGAGAATGATATATCCCTTGTTTTAGTCTTTATTTATATCTATATAGCATTTATATTGTACTAGGCATTATAAGCAGTCTAGAGATGATTTAAAATATGCAGGAAGATACGTACAGATTATATGCAAATACCATGCCATTTTATATAAGGGACCTGAGCATCTGCAAATGTTGGTATCCATGGGGTCCTAGGACCTCTTCTTTCCCTTCCCAGGTACTACTGCCTGTACCTCTTCACCTGACTGTGGCATGAGACACCTCTGGCCATTCTTTTACCTGGAAACAGCTCCTTTCCTTGACTCCTCCAGTACCATATCCCATCCTGGCATTCCACCTACTCCCCTAGTGCACTTTCCTATCCCTTGTCCCTCTCTTCATCCTTGGCTATTTAAGTCCTCTCTGTCCTCACATGGGTAGTCTCCACTGTTCACACTCCCCTAGAGATCTGAGGTCTTAAGTAGCTCTCTGTCCATGTGTAAGTGATGGTTTCTAACCACCTCCACTCTGAAGACCAAACCTTCCAATTACCTGCTCTGTATTCTTTCTTCTCCTCATATCCAAGATAGAACCCACAAGCTTCCTCACAGAAATGACCTCTGGCTCCTAGTTTTCTGAGTTTTGTTATTCATTTCAGCTCTTCCTATCAAAGCCAGCTTTCTATTCCACCTACATTTACAAGCTTTTGAGTCCCATGAATGGCTCAAGGGATCCCTCATCTGTACCTTTCCTCTGCATCACCAGGCAATGACACTCCAATAACTTTCCAAGTGAATTCTTATTGGTTATATCTACCAACTTAAAACATTCTTCTCAGCAAAACCAGATTAATTCATGTGTCACAATTCTGTTCAAAACCTGTCAGTGTTCCTCTTTTTCTTTTATTTAATATGCTATATTTCAAGTTTAATTTTGATAGACCCTTTGGGGATTTTTTTGGGGGGGTACCAGGAATTGAACTCAGGACCTTGTGCTTGCCAGGCAGGTGCTGTGCCACTGAGCTATATCCTCAGCCCCTCAAGTTTAATTTTAAAAGTAGTCTGCGGGGCTGGGGATTTAGCTCAGCGGCAAAAAGCGCCTGCCTGGCAAGCGCAAGGTCGTGAGTTCGGTTCCCGGTAC